ATGCAACTATATATCTATCCCAACCACTTTGAATACACAGATACAAAATGGACATTCATAGGCATACACCATTTTTTCTAAGTTCCGTTATTGAATATTATAGGTGTGTAAACTCAGCAAAATATTCTAAAAGAGTCCAGTATTGGCCAACCCTATTAAAAGGATAATTTTTTAGTTATGATTTTCCTTGTGTTCTTTCTACTTTTTTTTAAAATTTCTTTTATCCTCCCTCATTTCCTCTTCTGAGACTTTGATCCCTCTTTCTTAAAGGGTGCAGAAAGGCCAAGGGTAATTTTCTTATAGCTGCTTGGGGCTGAGGGTGGATGGTAACCCTACCTAGCCAGGGACCTGCCTGGAAGAGGGGACAAAGGAGGATAGTTGTCGTCTGATGCAGTGTTTCCGTGCTCTAGAGTTCTAGAGAGTCTTTCTAGGTTCTTTTTTTTTTTTATTGAGGAACAAATATCAATGAGACAGTTTCAAAGCTGATTAATAGGCCAGTTTCAATAATTCATGCATTGTACATTGTTATCTTCTTAGTGGTTATCCACAGTATAAGAAGCAGACAGGATATCCTGTCCAAACACTGTTAGTGCAAATCTTTCTTCTCATTGAATTAAGTGAAGGTAGCTGTTTATCTATCCTAACTGTTTTGTATATACAAATACAAAATGGTCCTTCCTTTGTATCCCCTTTTTTGTTTAGTCCTGTCAGAGATGGGTATTCCATGGGCATCTAAATACTATAGGTGTGTGAATTCAGCCAAACAATCCAACACTGTCTAGCAGTCTATAATAATAGTGGGTTATCATCAGAAGTTATTGACTTGAGCCTTTTATAGCTCCTTGTATTAATATGGCTTAACTTTATATACCTCATTTTTATACTTTTTTGCTGAATGGTTAAGACCAAGATAAAGCAAGACCTATATAACAAGAAATGTAACTTTTGTATCTGATAAGGTCAGTCAAGTACCCTCAGGATTTATCCTGTAACCCTGCACCACACTTTTTAGATCCTTTGTCAGTGTCATCTATGAGGATGAGTCATGGCCATTGCTTGACCAATTTGCTCTCCATGAAAGCCTGAGAGAATGTTTTCTCTCCATGTGACTCTCCTTAGGCATACTATACATCATCGATCATATGCTCTGTGGCCTCATAATCTCCTTGATCAGAAAATTTGGGGCACAACTGAGTTACATGATGTTACAGTACAGGTTCTCCTATGTCCTAAGTCTTCACTGACCTTGAAAGGGCAGGGCCAAAATGTTGGCTGGCCTTGCAGCCCTTCCTTTTCTCCAATTTTTGATCTGCTAACTTAGGTTGTTAACCTTCCAGAAGAGAAGCTTATTATTATCCTGCAACATATGCAGTTCAGTTTACCCTAACTATCTGTCTAAATATCAAACATCTTAGGCATAACATGGAACAGGTATTTTCTGTCAAGTATTGATATGTTGAACTTTAAGTCCTTACAGAATACAGAGAAAAAATAATTAAAAAAATAGGAATAAACACTTACATATTTTTACACAGAAATTTAGAAATCTAACCATATATAGAATTGTAGCAGGTCAGTTCTGTGACATTTTTTTTTTCTTTTTCTTGTGTCTTTTTTTCATTTATTACCCTTTATTTAAAGAAGAAAAAAAAAAGCCCTTATATTTGAGAGATAGTATGGTAATAATTGGTATGTCATGACAAGAAGTATGTCATATTTAGAAGACCAGAATGACAGGCATTCCAAATGTGACCCTTCTATTACACATTGCTATCTTCAGTGCAGCTGCTTGGTTAACAGGTATCAGCATATATAGTTAGTCAGGGTGAGAATCCTACCAGTTAACTGCTAGTTTCAAAAACTTGCTGATATTTCTCAGGATCATTGCCTTACCCATCTCGTGTGTATAAATGTATGGCTTTGCGCCTGTCATGCTTCCCAGCAGTCCTCTTGATTTGAATCCATAGATGACCATGTCCTGAGGCTAGCATCAGGTGGCACCAGAATGGCCACTGAATCTCCTCAGCCTAGAAGCTGTCCCACCCACCAGAAAGGGGAGCTGTGGCCTCTGAGTGCATGCCCTTAGATTTAGAGAGTGAGAGAAGTGAGGGAAAAGAGAGAGGCAAGAGAAGGGGATGGGGAGAGGAAGCTGTGCTTTAGAGGACAAGCAGCTAACAGAATTGGAGAAGAATAAATATCTCTTTACTTTTGCTGGGTTTACTGAAGATGAAGTTGGTGATACCGCTTTTATCGCTTCTGGCTGCCCAAGAAAAAATTGTCACTGGCCAAAGTCTGAAGAGGTTTCCAAAGTAGAGCTGGAAAACCAAAACCCATGCTACCTACAGAATAGGTTGCAGCTCTTTGACTGGAAAAAGAATTTCTAGGATGCTTTGGTAAGAGCCATAAAGGGATTTATTGGACAGACATTTGGAAGTCCACACTCAGAGAAACAGAGCGGAGGCCTTCAGAGGACAGAGGCCACACTTCATCATTTCTTAAAGGAGCCTCATTTCTTGCTAGTAAGGAGGCTACTTAGGAGCCAGGCATGGTGGCATAGACTTGTAATGCCAGTGCCCTGGGAAGCTGAGGCAGGGTAATGGTGGGTTTGAATCCAGCTTGGTCAAAGTAGTGACCTAGTGTGACCTTGTCTTTAAAAAGAAGAAGAAGAAGAGGAAGAGGAAGAGGAAGAGGAAGAGGAAGA